AGTCAGATAAGAACAAAACCAGTTAAAGACAGTACCACTGATAAACAAGTATTTCTGCAAGCAATTAAGCAACACTGAATGATTTGCTGTATCAAAGGCAGTACTAAGATCGAGGAGCAAAAGGATATTTATAGCCCCCAGTTATAACTCTCTTCACACTGGGCTCAAGTGGCCATTGTACAGTAAATTGCTTGGGTTTTATAATAGTTTAATAATAAAATAATTTGTGTTGGGCCCAGTTATCCTCATATCAGTCTTTGAAGGCCTTTGTATTGCTCCTATTGCATGAAATATTGTCATATATTGCTTATATTTGCAAGTGATATAAGGATGAAAAGGATGAAAAATGAAAAAGGTTACTTTCACCCCTCTAATCTCATTAAAATAAATGCATTAATCATGAAACTTTAGAGAAATAACTTTTTCATGTTGTTTACAAAACAAAAATGAAGACTAAAATTAACTTGAAATAAGTTAGTGTATGAAAATTAGAAGTTCATTAAAAAAGCCTATATAAAATCTTGTTTTAAGTTGAAAGAAGAGCCAACTCAGCAATACATTTTGAATATGACAGATGAATAGACCCTGTTTCAACCAAATATTCCAGCTGGTAAATGCTTTTCCAATTGCATATTGAAGATGTTGAGAAGGAAAGTAGTTAAGCTATTAAAATTAAAATAGTGACAAATTATAACAGAAATGTTGAATTTATTCTGTCAACAGAAAATTATGTATGGAAATACATATAGAGATACATAAAGAGTTTGGACTGAAGTGTATAGGAACCTAAATCAAAAAGTCTATCAGTGACCTTAGTTAATTATGTCTTGGGCATACAATCAACAATACAGAAAGACACAAGATCAGATCAGATCAAGACAGAAGAAAGAAGAGAGGAAGGAAGGAAAGGTCAGACCACGAGAGAGAGAGGAGCCAGTCAAAAAGCCCCGAAAAGATCAGATCGGAGCTACTTATTTAAACCTTTCTAAAGAGAGCTTGCTATTCTGGGTTTTTAGGGAACTTGGACTTCCTGAGTGAAAAATACCTAAGTTAAAAAGGGCCTTTCCTGCTTGTTGGGTGCATTTTAAAAATAGGGAGACAGGCTCACAGTTTTTTGTGGCATCCATGTTTTCAGAGAGAGAGATTTAACTGCAGGTTGTATTGCATTTAGTTAAGGGAGCAGCTTATCTCTTATTTTGGCTTCTGTAGGCATTATTAAAGAGTCGAATACTTGCTAGCAGTCAGGGATGGACTCTGAAACAGCTTGTCTATAAACTTGTACATAGAGAAAATTGTGTTGTGTTTATGTTGTGTGTAGTGTAGTGTGTCACAGTCATTGTTAATAAATATTTGTTAACCAAGTGTGTTTTGGTTATTTTAAGAATTATTGCTCTTTTCACCAAAGCTGTAACAGAAAACAAAGAATTCACATGTCTCTAATTATACCAACCACTCGGGTATATTCTTGGAGAAATCCTTACAGGTTGGGGTTTATGATTATTTACTTTATTCGCTGACTAAGCCGCTCGGTCAATTTCTGCTTATTCTCCATTTTCGTAACTCCTCCATTAGTAAGAGTATATACAACATTTTTATTTGAGTCTTGTGACACTTTGTTGGTTCCAGAACCCATTATATAATCTCGGTACACATCCATTTAAAAAATGACAGCTTTATTTTCACTCTACGCTCTTCATTATTTCAAGTATTTGGAAATTATATAATTAATTTAGAAGACGGAAAAATATATTAGGAGATGAAGTAACAGAATTGCGAACATTTAAGGACCTGATTTTTTCCTATGAGAAACTTCTAATAGGTTTTCTGCCTCACATGATTGTTACAGTACTTTCGATCTGTGAACCTGTACTGAAAGTCAGTAGCATTTGTTTTGCATTGGCATGACAATTTATTGACCAAAATATGAATTTATATTGTTACAAATAGCGGTTACAAATTAAAATTAAATAATCATAATCTTGTAAATGTTTTTACCAGGAATATACATGAGTGGTTGGTATAATTAGAGGCACATGAGTTCTTTGTTCTCTAGCTAGTTTGGTGAAAAGAGTAACAATTCAGACATACTGGGTTAAACAAATGTATATTGATAATGACAATGTCATACACTAAACTACATACAACATAAACATACAACACACAAGTTACACTATTTACCAATTTACACACATGGTGTCCAAGAGGCCTACAGTCGTGGCCGCAAATATTGGCACCCTTGCGCTTTTTGTAAATAACTCACAATTTTCTCTAAAAATAAGTTCAAATTGACCAAAGTACTTGGTCTCTACAATTCTTTATTTCACTGTTAATATTACAAAACCTTTGTTTTTGATTCAGGACTTAATATATCCTTTTACATCAGAAAATTAAAAGAAATGGCATTGACAAAATTATTGACAATCCAGACTGAATATTTGGTAGCACAGCCTTTGGTCAAAATAAGTGCAATCAAGCGCTTCCTATTGCCATCAATGAGCTTCCTGCACCTCTGTACTGGCAGTTTGGCCCACTCTTCTTGTGCAAACTGCTCCAGTTCTCCCAGATTTGTGGGGTGCCTTCTCCCAGTTGCTGTTTTCAGATCTCTCCACAGGTTTTCAATGGGATTTAGATCTTGACTCATTGCTAGAAACTTTAGAACCGTCCAGTGATTTGTCTTGAACCATTCCTGGATCTTTTTTGAAGTGTGTTTGGGGTCATTGTCGTGCTGGAAGACCCATGACCTTCGACGAGATCCAGCTTTCTGACACTGGGTATGACACTGCACTCCGAAATGCCTTGGTATTCTCCTGATTTCATGATGCCGTGCACACGTTCAAGGCACTCTTTTAAACAAAATGAAGCCTTCAAAGAAAAGAACACTTACAGTGAAACATGGAGGAGGTTCAGTGATGTTTTGGGGGTTGCTTTGCTGCCACTGGAACTGGGTGCCTTGAACCTGTGCCCTACAATTTTGCAAGGACACTGTTAATGCACCACTAGATGTATATACAGTGTCTTTGAATATTTAATGATTAAGTAGTCATTTCCTTGGTTTCATGTCTCACCTCCTGATCCACCAACACTACTTAGTGTACACTGTATTGTAAGTTACAGCAGCAACTTGTTTCTTTTTAGTGGCCACAGTTCTGATGAGGACCAAACTGGCTTATCTTCTGCGGTCAAAGAAGATCAGGCTACAGGGTAACTCTGTTGTCATTCTGCCATTTTCCAATTTACTGTATGTTTGAAGAGAAAATAAAATACATTTGAAACCAGGAAATAAACACGGAAAATAAAATACATTTTAAACCATCTTCCGGATTTTTCTTAATCTAACACATGCTGGTATTAGAAAAGCAAGCAGCATCAATTAAAATATATAAACATCGATACTGCCTCATTATGCATGGTTTTTGTGGTTCCAAAGGCACAGCTGTGCTGGAGCAGCTCAAGAGGCAGGTAAGGGCTGCTGGAAGCAGTCTGGAATTGGGGTTCCTTCTCAGCTTTGGAGCACTGTCTACCCTAGGACTGCAGAATTTTATTGCAAATTGATTTTTAGTCTAGTTTTCTCCTTCTTTCTAGATTTAGACACGATTTCAGACACTAATTAGCTCTCAGTAATATGCAAATTTGAAGAACGTGTCTTCATTCTATGTCCTGGAGCCTACAAATCTAAAATAAGCTACTGACTTTATGTGTCGTCTACAGGCATTATTGTGTGTGAAGAGTTTATCAACCCTGTAAGAATGGTTCTCCAATACAAATGCCATGTAGGCTAAAAATATGACTATGAATGACTGACCCTTTATACAAACCCGTATTTTTAATGCTTGTAAAAATTGAAATATTATGTGTTTGTAATAAAAAAACTATAAAGGTGAAAACATAAAAGCTATTGGTCACAAACGACGATTTGTGCAATCTGTTTTTGTTCATTTCATTCGATAATTTATGCATTACTTATACGTAAATTATTGAAATCTTTGGATCAATTGCATCGAAGTTGGATTAAGTACAGAACTGGCGATTTACCACGGAATCATCCAAAATTAGTACAATGCTGTTTGTTGCACAGTCTACTTAATCAAATACTCGAAATAGCGACAATAACAAAAATATCAGATTCAGACTGAAAAACAACAACAACAACAACAACAATAATAATAATTATGAATAAGCTAATTAAATTAATAAGTAAATCAGATACTGCGGTTCACGGACGTAGTTGCAATTTGAAGCTTTGAACAGGAGACGAAGCTGCTGTTGATCAATTAGTCCCTGCTTGTTTTTAAATAAAGTTCGTTGAAAAAGGTAAGCGAGTTCAATCTGTATTGACTTTTAAAAACGTTTTGGATATTTATAAAGGTAATTGGACGTACGTGCTTTGTTTGACTTGATATTTAGTTTGTACTTGAAAAGCGAACGAAACTTTCCGTTAGGTTCAAATCAGAAATCATAATCTGTCTATGAACGAGTTCATTAAAACAAAAATCATTCATTACTGTCGATCAACGTATGTTTAGTTGTGATATCAATTAAAATATTTTAATTTTAACAGTTAGTTTCTTTGGTTGGTCAGAAGAAAGTGAAGGTTGTGATTTACAGTTTGTTACTTTCCGATTCCGATGGATGATTTATTGGCTACGTTAGGAGTCGCTGTTATTCAGATTTTATTTTCTCCTTAGATCGAGGATTGTGTGCCGTGTTTGATCTGTACCTATGGAGTAGGCATCTGGAGCAACTCGATATTTCTCGAAGCCCAATCAAGGTCCGTCATGTTTGCAGGTTTTTAAACTTTATCGATTTTTATTTTACTCATGTAGATCGTGATGCAGGGCAATACAATTTTTCCATACGAGAAAACTAATAGGTACACTGTAAAAGGTGTATGATTATAAAACATTTAAGACTAAAAGAAAGAAACACGTAGACGAATTAGAACAGAACAAATAAAGTAAAATATCTCTGGGCACAGATTTGTTGTAAATTTAAATTCCCCAAGATGAAGATGATTAAAACGATAAAAAACTGGCATACTCAATAAAAATATATATTTTAATAATCCTGTTTTTTAAATTTAACAGTTTATAGAATGAGTATAGTTTTGTGGAATTTAACCTTAGTAAATATGTTTGCACTCATGTATAGAGTCTACGGGAGACATGGGGTAACTAGCAAAAAATTGGTTTATGAGTATCGCATTTATGAGAGAATTTATCAATGTAAATGTGCTAGATCTGTCATTCCAGGAGATTTGTACAAAAATAACGGATACAGAGACGAAAATGCAGAACAGGGAGAAAGAAAGGAGTTAAAAGGGGAAGCATCTTCCATATTCACCCATACTAGACTAGTTCAGTCACACTGGGAACGTAACCAGTAAGCTATACTTCACTACAGTATACTGAATGATCTAACTAATCCTGATGCAATGAAGTGACTTTGACTGTTGCCTTTCAATTAAATTACATTAATTAGGGAGAGATTTGATTGATGATAGTGATGTGTTGATTCAATCTGTTGAATGGCAAGCCTGGTAAAAATCACACCACCTTCTCTAGAGGCTTATGTTCAACCATGCTAGATTTTTTTATGCACTGTTATCAATGGTATCTTTGTAAAACGTCTTTAGCTCAAAAACACTTTTAAAATTCCATCAAAGGCAGCAACTCAAGAACATTTCATCTTGTGGGGCTTGTGCCACGTCAGGTCCAGACAGTTTCTTTCTTTCTTTTCTAATTTATTGCACATCTGAAGTCATTGTTTACATGCATGCATTGTTTACATTCAAACTTTTTACTTGTACATTGTCTACTGTTTGTATACTGTCCTGATGCACTGTCTGCACTTTGTGTTTTTACACTTTTTAACAATCGAGGGACTTTCTGTAAGTAAGAATTCCATTGTACAGTACATGTACCGGTTACATATGGCAATAAAGTTCAAGTTCAAGAAATATATATTTTTTCTTATAAATACTGTATAATAAAAGTAAATGAAAAAAAATTAAATTAGAACATACAGGATATAATGGAGAGCAATCATTCATAGACCATGGTAAAAAGGTGATAGATCTGAAGAGAGTCAAAGAATTTGCCTCTTGAAGAGACAGAAGAAGGGCATTCCATAACAATGGAGCAGCAACATAAAAAACGCTTTCACCAAAAATACGGGATTAAGTAGGGGGTACGTTGACAAAGGGCCAGCCTCAGCTGAACAGAACCTACGGAAGGTAGTGTAACCATGGACTTTAGAGATGGAGCCAGATTATTTAAGGCCTTAAAGTCAGTAATAAGATTTTGTATTGAAATCGTGACTTTATAGGCAACTGATGTAGAAACTTAAGTGTAGGAATGATATACTGTACTGCCAAGGTCTGGTGTCACAAGGTAGCTGCAGAATTTTGGACATCTTGCATCTTACAGAAAAGAGTGTTGGGGAGCCCACAGAGTAAAGAGTTTCCGAAACGAGGCTTGATGTTATAAATGCATGAATAGGTTACTCAGCATCAGACGTTGAATTGCCAATATTGCTGAGGTGAAAAAAAGAGGGTTCAATCAAATGTTTTATGAGCTCAAAAGACAGTATGGGTTCAAATGTGACTCCCACTTTCCTGACTACAGCTGATTCCTGCATGGAGAAGCCATCCACTATTACGATGAAACTCTCCCGCTTTTCCAGCTGACAGTTGCTGCCCACCCATATTTCTGTCTTGTCGCCATTTAGCTTCGGGCTATTTGATGTCAAGCAGTGCTTGATGTCACACAAATGAGAGATAACTGACAGAGAAGGGAGATCAGAGGGGAAGACTTTTTAATGTAAATCTGAGTAAACCACAGATCGTGTTTGCGCATAATCTGACTGAGAGGAAGCATGTGAATAATAAAAAGCAAAGGGCCCAAGACTGAACCCTGTAGCACACAGTGATAGACTGGGGCCATGGGGGATTTATGAGATCCAAGGGAAACAAAAGGCTGCTGTCAGTCAGATAAAAGCAGAACAGGTTAAACCTGGCACCCTTGATAAAACGGTAATGAATAGCATGATATGAGATAAAACCGTTTTCGTTTTATTTCCAGCAAACATGTACCAAATGTACCAAATGTACACCTGGGATATTCTAATATTTTATGCTCATGTTTTCCAGGGCAAAGAATTGCATTATGCATTACCTTTCGATCTGGACTTTTAAGATTCATTTACCCATTCAAGGTCTGGTCATTTCTTTTTTTCTTTTGCCTCAGAAGTAAAGTGAGATGCATTTCTTCTCGAGGATTCCCTTCAGGAGGATTCACTCGGATGAGCCAGTACCAGGGCAGGTTCGGAGACCAGCCCCAGTGAAGGAGCCGCCAGATGGAGGCTGGGGCTGGGTAGTGGTGCTGTCAGCTTTTATCTTCAATGTGCTGGTTCTTGGATTTCACAATTCCTTTGGAGTCTACCTCATCAGTCTTCTGGAAACATATGAGGAAGCAGATTCTACAATAGGTAACCCCATTCCAACATGATATTAATAATGTTGTGCATTTTCGCAGATTGGAAAAGAAAGGGTAGTTTACTGGACATGACCTAATATTTCATGAATGCAAGTGAGCAGACATTCCTACCTTGGAACAAGTAATAGGTTTATTCCATACTGAAAAAAAGAAGAAAGAGAACACAACGTTTCGGCTGTGGAGCCTTCTTCACGTGACTGAAGAAGGCTCCACGGCTGAAACGTTGTGTTCTCTTTCTTCTTTTTTTCAGCATGGAATAAACCTATTACTTGTTCCTTTGCAGCCTACGCATGCTGACGCAGCTACCCACCTGAATT